TTTGTTTGTTTGTTGTTTATTTGTTATTGGTTATTTTCGTTTGTTGTTTGTTCTTCTATCATGACTATTACAAAGGAACTAATGGCGTTCTGTGTTTGCATGTAGACCTAGGCCCACAGAGAAGTGCGTGTAGGCTCAATGTCGTGAGGGCTTTTCTAATGATTTTCACCTTTTGTTTTGATAATAATTATTTTTCATCAATATACATCTAGTTCTCTTCAGGTAATGACACTTGCATGGCATACATATCGCTCGGCTAATAATAAATGACAGAGTAGATCCGCTACAACTAGTTACACGTTAGCCCACAGCATGATGTATTAGTCATAGCGCAGCGCGTGATAGAACTGCTCGATTGTGTAGTGTAGGTGTCGCTGCGTGACGTGCTCCCGTGCTGACATAGATCGGAGGCAAAAACGTAGAGACGCATCACTCCTCCATTCAGGCGAGATTGGAGTTAGGGCCAGTCAGGCATTCGGTGAAAGTTTCACGCCGTACAACTAATAGTCTGTTCCTCACAATCGAGGAATCACCTTATGGTTTTCATAGTAAGTTGAGCAAGGGGGTTGGTCTGAATCAATTTTTAACACCATTTCTCTTTCTTTACCGTCACGTCATACCCACATCCACACATGAAAGATGGAGTCAGAACATTCTAGTAATTCTAGTCAAGATCTTGAAGAAAAATTCACCAGTCATCTCGGCATAGATTCTCCAACAGCTCACTAGGGGCCGAAGAAGGAATGCACCGTCTTGGTACCTCCTCTGAGGTTGAGGTATCGATCCGAATAAGGGTGGGGGGGGGGGGGGATAAACTGGGGGGGAATAAAAAGGGGGGAGGTGGACAAGTGGTCCAAAATTAATAAACGGGGGGGGGGGGCACATTCAATACCCCTGTACTAGTAGGAACAAATCTATTTTATTTCTACTTCGGTGAATAAAAGAACAAGAGATCATGAAATGTTAGTGATTTCAGGAATTTACTGTGACAGCGTTTCCCATTTAGGAACAAACCAGTTTCATTTAAAAATATAAACCAATGTACAACAGTTTTTAGAATGCACAGAAAATTGTGACAGACAACCCCATATCGGCACTAATACATTAGGGTAATTTACCATTTACAAAAAAAGAAAAGAAGTTTCATTCGGATATCTAGATTCTAGATATAACGTTTCACATGATCGTCGTTCGTGGCAAGCTGGAAAATGATTAACGGGGGGTATGGAATATGGAGCAGGGGAGGGGGAGCAGTGTTGGCCAAATACATTAAAACAACTTTATGAACTCAGCTTTTTCTTCAAAAGAACAATTTTGACTAAGGTAGCAAACGTCAAAAGATTTAATACTCAGAGATAGGCTACAGATCCAATTCTATGTTTAGGAATAGCAGATGGTTTTCACTTTACAGCCTAATATATTATTACCGGTACCGTATATTAAGGTCAGAGGTAGGAAAATCATGACCCCCACATCAAAAAGAAAAGAATCAAAACAAACTAACGTTGAGAAATAGTAGACGGACAGTATTCAGTTTGAAATGATATAGCAGCAATGTTGATAAAAAATAACCTTAGCAAGGACTCCATCTTCATTTACGAGTTAAAACCCAATATGACAGCCAAGTTGGTAAGTAAACATGGCATACAGCAAAGCATTAAGTGAAAGGGGGAAGAGGAGGGGAAGAGGAGGGGGAGAGGGAGGAGGAGATGGAGGAGGAGGATGAAGAGGATGAAGAGAGGATGTGAATTAGAGGTGGAGGGGTCGAGTGGGTAGAAAAAATTGTTAAAACAAAACTAATAATAAAAATAAAAACAATGATAATAATAAAAATAATAATAATAATAATAATAATAATAATAATATTATTAATAATAATAATAATAATACTGATAATAATGATAATACATTTAATATTTGTACTTGATTTAGACATCGACTCAAAACTTAACAATTTGCGTTCATGGCAGCCTTTATTGAAGCATTATTCTGATAACAAAATATAATTATTATTTTCAGCATATTTGAATATCAATAAGGGAGTAACAAAATTGATCAAATGCAACTACAATGTACAAGGTCTCCCATAGAATTATGAGTCAAAACAACAAGCCCATTCAGTGAAACTCGGCTACAACGAACCCGGATTCAAGAAAAAGCAACAAGTCAACAGTCTAGAGCCATATATTTCAGTCTACCTATCGAGCCAACCTGCCAACCACAGCACTTCTAAAAGCCATGAATAGCATGCCTACTGTCTGTGATTCAGGAAAATTTGTTTGCTGAGCCTTTTAGATCTTTCAGTGACTTTTGATACATTTGACCATGACATTTCATGGAAGCGATTGAAAGTGTCTTTTTGAACATTCGGGGCTAGTCATGGTTGGTGTTGTTCTTACCTCTCAAATTGATACCAATATGGTTTTATTAAAGTGCACAAGTCAACAGATCATGTTCTTATGTATGGGGTACTCCAGGGCTCAGCCCCCTGTCCAGTTTGGTTCACCATTGATACGCAGCCATTTGTCAGGGAAATAGTTAAATATGACTCTGGAGTATCATTTCTGTGCCGCTATACCCAAATTTATGGTTCAACAATGTTTACTTATTTAGATGAACTTGTCCTTAGTGCTGAAGGTTTGCATTGTTTCAGTGGATGAACAAAAACAAATTATCGGTGTTGAATGATGATACAACCGAAGTCATTGTGGCAGGCAGTGTAAAGTTTATTAAGGAGGTTCACAAGGATTACATGAAAATTGGTGATATGTACATTGTATTTTCAAGAAGAGTTAAAAATCATGGCATTTATATTAATTCCAAATTGTCAATGTCCGCTGAGCTGTTTTATTTGATCAGCTGCATGTAGATCTATATAGAAATAAGACAAATCAGTAAAATACAGCATGTAATCAGCACTAAAAGTATACAAGTACTGATTTATTAGTAAATAGCTTGGTTTTATCAAGACTTGATCGTTGTAATTCCTTGTGATCTGGAATATCACTGGAGAGAGTTGTGTGTTTAGTCTTACAGAAAGGTAAGTGAGACTCCCGCCACGCCTCTTCTACAGACACCCCAGTGGCTTTGAGGTGAGAACATTTTCCCGGCTACTAAACAGTAATGTTTAATAATAGGCTCTCGGACTCGCAACCGTAAGGTCGTGGGTTCGAATCCCGTCAGGGACCTGACGTTGTGTCCTTGGGAAAGGCACTTTACACGAATTTTCCTCACTTCACCCAGGTGGGAATAGGTACCCGGCTATAGACAGCGAAAGATCTTGTCAGTTTGTTAGTGTTTGAGCGCTTAATCAGCTGCTTGCACTGTACGCTTCCC